CGACGTGTCCGAGTGCAGGGCGCTCGGGGCCGGGCCTCGCTGAGGAGGGCCGGGGGCGCTCGGGGAGTTGGGAACAAGCACTGGGGTAAGGTTTTTGGGGAAGGGAGCTGCTGCCCCGTGGGAAAACTTCGCCTCGGTAGCGTATGGCAAATAATACACTTCCATTCTCCTGCAGAGTGGATTTGCATGAGGACAGATCGGTGTTTAAGAGGGAAGCTGCTAGGCACTCTTCTCCTAGAGCCTTAATCCTCTGTGACACTAAAAGCATCGCCTTAGTAACTTACTGTGATAGCATAAAATAGAGGAATAGGTTGCAGAGCCAGCAAAAAGCTTCATGTGTTTTTTCTGAGGAAAATACAGGACTTTGTATAGCTAATACGTGGCTCCTTGCGCCGTGCAGACATAGGAGTAGTCAGGGCTGCTGCTCCAAAGAGCTCACTATGGTGTGTGGCTCTGAGCTTGCTGGTCTCAGCACGGCGCTGATCTCCCTGCTCGAAGCAGCGCTCGCTGAGGGCGGCTGGGACAGGGACAGCCTGGTAAGTCAGGGCTTGCTTGATCTGAGCCTGAAAGGGCTTGCCAGAGTTGCATCCCACTCACAGCCCACATGCTACAGAGCTGTGTAATGTTTCCCAAAGCTTTCCTGAAATTAAGGGTTGTAGATATGCATAATTGCTCTTGGTTGCTTTTGTTTATTATGCTAACTGCCAGTGTGTAGGGATGAGAGAGCAGGGAAATCTGTCTCTTGTAAATAAAACCATATTGTAAAACTCCCCTTCCCGTGTTGGCATGTTATGCTATGTATTGGTGGCTTACCACCCCAAAAGAAGCTGCGTTTTCCTTGTTTGTGTGCTTCTGTGGGGGGTACTTTGAGAGCCGCGAGTGTGAAAAGCACTTTGTAAAGATGCAGTGTTATTTGTGATCGCTCATTAAACAACAGAGCAAAAGAGGTTAACTGTAATTCAAAGCTTTGGAGGTTTAATGCGTTTGATACCATCTTAAATATTCTCTAAGGTTGGTTTGGTTTCATTTTGAAGTGAAAGGCTGTGTATATTTTCCTTCATCCATTTCTTTCATATTTTTATTGAATGTCAGATTTATCGTAATCTTGCAGATCTGAAGAACTAGCAATTATTGGCTCTGTAGCGATGATTCATGATACTTTCTCACCAGCAGACTGAACACTTTCACTGTACTTCCTTGTAAATCTGCTTCAAAAAGAGGTCAGATGTTGAAGAGCAGTTATGGACTCGGGGGCATATGGTTACAAGCACAGAATAATAGTGTTCACTGCCTGAATGTCTGTGTTAAATGCTGAGGAAACTATTTAGACTCTGCCAATATTGACTACTTTTAGTTGAGCTGTTGCTTTTTCTGATGACCTGACTAATAGAATAATTAATGACAAACATTCCAGTTTCTTTC